TTCCCTACAGGTCTCATAGGAAGTCCTCCTTCAGCTCTCCAAGCAGTTCCCCTAAGAGATTCCTGGGGAGGTCTCTTTGCTGATCCCTAGGCAGGTCCATCAGAAGACCTTTTAGTTGTTCCCTGCATAGCTCCTCTCAAATTTACCTCCTCAGCTCTCAAAGCACCACTGTCCTTGTCAAGTGACTGTAGAAAACAAAGAAAAAATAACAAAAGTTTAAGTATTAGCATATTAAAGTTCTGAAACGTGGTACTAGATATATATAAAGAACAGTAAGAAAGTTTCTGAGTAAAGACAAAGGTTGCATTTTAAGTTGTTTCAGTACATTTGGAGATTATTTTCATAATTTATTTCAAATAAGTTGACAAGAAAAGAAAAATAGCATATGGTCATATATATCATGGTTCTTTCTACAAAGAAACAACTTTCTTTTTTTTTTTTTTAACTGAAAATGGCTGGTAGGGTTTTGGTAACTGCTCTGGCACAAGTTAAATAATTGAAATCTGAAATCTCTTATGTTACAATCTATTTTTCAAATATTTACAAAAGCTTTTTTCAAACTGCAGTTTCTTACAAGAATATGTGTATTTCCCTGTATTTGTAAAAAAAGAAACTGAGGAAAGCAAAACCAGAATTTGAATGACAATGGATACCTCCAGTGGATAAGTGGTAATGAAATGGAGGTGATAGTGATGAAGTTGAGACTTCTCTGAGTAAATCTCTTTTATATAATTTTGAATTTTGGTCAAGCACATAGCTTAAACCTTTAAAACAAATTAAGCCCTCAGACTGAATACAAACAGAAAAAAATGAAACTCGTTGTATATCAAATTTATAAAAAATAACCAGACAGAAATAATAGAAGTAACTTTTGACTATTGCACTCCTACTGGACTCACAGTATGTCCCTTTGCATATCTCTCAGCAATTTCTTCTGAAGGACTCACAGCATGGTCCCTTGCAGGAATCACATTATATTCCTTTGCACGTCTCTCAGTATGTCCTCTTGCAGGACTCACAGCATGTCTCCCTACAGGTCTCACAGGAAGTCCTCTTTCAGGTCTCCAAGCAGTTCCTTAGTTGCACCCTTAGTTGCTATGCACCCTTAGTTGGCTGTATATTTTAAAGATAAAATAACTACAACAAATATTGAAACTTTCTCAATTGGTTTTTTTTTTAGTAGTGGTATTGATATAATGATTCTGAAACTAATTTTTGTGTGTTTTAAGCTACACAATTTTGTGTGTATTTTATGAGTAAATATGTTGATAATTTTATGACGCAGGTGTCTCACAGTTGGTAAATGAAGAAACAAATATAGAATGGGGGAAACGAGGAAGGACTCTGTGATATTAAATTTGAAATATAGTTATTAATATGAAACTATGATTTAAACACACACACACACACACATGCTTTCCTGATTTGTCTACTGAAGGGAGCTTACAAGCAATAACACTGCAGTAGCAATGAGCACACTTATTGACTATATGTTGGTTTCTAAATATTCTCCACTAAATGGAGCCAAGGCTCTTCGGGGAAATATCTGATTCCAAGTTGGGACAGAAAAAGAACAGTGATTCTGAAACATCTTTCTGTATTAAAAAGCAAAGAAGTGCTTACAGACTATTGGGACACAGCAAAAGGACATAGGAACTAGCTTGAAGGGGTACTCACTAGCCAAATTTGTAACAATTGGAACATAAAAAATGATGGTAATGGACTTTAAAACACATTTAATTAAATAAGAGTCCCTGAGTCTTCAGTCATATTCAAAAACAGGAAGGGAAAAAGAGAAATTATTTTTCTTATGGAAGAATGTTAGTTAGCTAATACAAGTTAAAGAAAATAAATTAGAAAAATCAGTGTTTTATAGTTCCTAATGTTATATTCACTCATTGACTATTGTAATATTGAATCAGTATTGAATCTTCCCACAAAGATCATCATTGGATGCTTAAACAATTAGATGAAAGGTTGTTGTGAAATAGGATATTTACATGGGTATGAAGTATCACCCTACAGACAACTTGCTAATTACAAAGAAGAAAATGTATCTTTGAAATGGAGAGCTCTGGTAGACATCTCTTCACCAAGATGATCAAACCAATAACAGAATAAATTGACATGGCATGCATCCTGATGTGATGCACTGGGGAATACACAGCACCACTTATATAGATTTCTTGCTAAAAACTGTTTAGCGTGAAGCAAATCAAATCATGAGGAAACAAATAGATAATTCTAGAGTGTGGGATATCTTACAAAGCAAGTGGTCTGGATTATTTGAGAAGGTCAATGTCATCAAAGACAAAGACAGAGAGATGGCTCCGTATTAAAGGAGACTAAAGATACCTGACAACCAAAGTTTCCATGATTGGATCTTGGATTTAAACAAAAACAGGTATGAAGGAAATTTTTGAGAAAAAGTGAGAAGTTGAAAATAGACTATACATTTGAAAATTTCATCAATGTTAAATCCATTTGTGAGTGATAATAGTATTGTGTTTATGTAGAAAAATGTCCTAGACTTTAGAAAATATATACTAAATGTCTGCATATGCAGGGGTGATGTCTGCAATGTGCTTTCAAAGCACTCAGAAAGAAAAAGTATGTGTGGAGGGAGGGAGGAGGGAGGGAGAAAGAGGAGAGAGAAAAAAAAGAGGAGGAGCAGGAGGAGTAGGAGAAGAAAAGGGAAGGGAAGAGAAGGAAAGGAAAGAGAATAGAATGAGACAAAACAAATGCAACAATCATAATTTACAGTTATAATTTCCCTGCATATCACATCTAATCAAAGAGCAAGGAATTTTGGCAAAACAAAATTATCTCTGTTAGATAAAAAATAGTTAACATTTATTATTTGAAGCATTTAGAAACTATACCTAAATTAAATGGTATCTTATTGATTTCTATAATCGAATCCTTTTATATTTACGTATATTTATATTTGAATTCAGCAAATCTAGTTATTTTTATAAGTTCTGGCAGTATTCATTGCCTACAGGAAAAATAAGAGTGTGGAACACCAGACTTAGAATAAGGAGAGGGAATTTTTGAAACTTTTTGTCCTTTTGCTTCTTTCTTTTCCTTGGAACAGTTGGGAAAAAGTATCCATGGCTAAAAACAGCAAGTAAGAATGCTGGCAAAGAAAAAACCCTGCTACCTTTTAATGGTATTTTAAAGAGGTCCACTTATTAAATATAAATTTAAATGTCCACTGCAAGGATATCACACTTTGCAAACAACATTGAAATATACTGCTTGAACATTAAGCATTTACGTGGTGTTTTATCTGCAGAGGTCACATTTAGTCACTTAATCAATAGGCTATTTAAATGAGTATTCTTTTGTAACTGCCTGATTTGAAAAGTTGACATTTATTACTTAGTCACACAGTAATTCACAGAATACCTGCTTAACTCTGGAGATAATAGATTGCTTTATATGCCTTCATATACTTGAGATCATTACAATCATGGACTTGTGATTTTTATTGTATCATCACCAGATGGCTATTATGAAAAAAGCACATGAGGCTTTTTCATGAGTCACATGATCTTCATCAGTTTGACTATGATGTGCCTAGATGTTGCTTTCTTTGTGCTTACTTTACTTGGGGTTTCTTTAACATGCTGGATGTCATAAGCTGGTGTTTTTCATCAAATTTGGGAAGTCTTTGTTTTTTCAAATGTTTTTTCTACCTCAGAATCACTCTCTTCTCACATATTTTCCATTAGCTTATTTAAAACACCTAGATTAAAATCTTTGCCTGCTGAGTCTGGCAAGCCTCAGGTGGTCTCATTCTGCACATATATAGTCCAGGCCATAACCACAAACAAATGGGATGCTCCTCAAACAGAACCCGGGGTTCTCTTTCTGCACAGTTCCTTTCTTATTCAATATTCCTCCCCACAGATTTAAGACACTTTAGCTGCCTCAGCCTCTGATCTCTGACATCGCAGCTCACTGTGACCATTGTGTACTACGTGACCTCCATTTCTCTGTGATCCTGTTAGGAAATTGTTCCCAGTCAGAGAGCTGGGCCAATATGGGTTCACCCTGTAAGCTTCCCTTCTCTCAGGGATCACCGTCATGTATTGCCTGTTGGCCACTGATTGAAAACAGTTGTTTCAAATGTGTTGTCCAGTTTTATAATTGTTTATTGTGGGAGGGATAGTCTGGTACCAATTACTACATTGTGGTTGGAAGCAAAAAAGGTGATTATTTAATTCATGATTTTGTCCAAGTTCAACCTTGTATAATATCCTAAGTATAGGAAGGGTAGATATATTTTCCTGTCAGTTTTGTTGGGGTAAAGAGAGAAAAAATGGAGAATAAAAGCTAGATAATATATAATATGTATTGAGCAGATGCTGTAACCTGTTACTATTCTAAGTCCTTTACACATGCTATCCTCACAGTACAACTATGAAGTAGATATTATTATTATCTTCATGTTACGTAAGGAATATAAGGGCAGAATAGTGAAGTAATTTGCCTAAAGTCACAAGCTGTTAAGTGATTGAGTCAGGATTCAAACATTACCAGTCTTACTCCAGGGTTAATATTCTTAATCATTATTTTAGATTGGCTTGATAAAACCAGAAGTGAAAACAGTCATCCCAAGTTAGGATGCATATCTCATTTTGACTTGTATTAGAAAGGACTGCATTGTGGATAAGTTTATTTTAAGACTGGTTTCTTTGGAGGTGATTTTTCTCTACATACTTTGCATACAATGTTGCTGTGAATTTCTAGGACCTCTTTTTATTCCTATAAATTACTGCCAAATGAAAGCTACATAAGTATTTCCACATCTATATGCATATTTAACTACTTTGCCTGTTCCTATCAAAAATAACTAAATATTTACCACCATTTTCTATAGTCAGCAGACCAGAAAATATTGAGGTTAAAATGCTCCTGAAATCTAATCACACAATCAGAATATCAAAGTCACAATCAGCACAGCCTAGTGGCTGTCAGTTGTAAATGAATAGCATTTGTAACATGCTTTATCAAGAAGTACTCACTAATGGATCTCAATTAGCAATATTACACTTGTGATTTGTTGCTAGAATTTTAATCACATGATGCAATATATCATGTCTTAAAATGGAGTGATGCAAAATGTGTAGTACAAATGACTAAGCCAAAAGTACAAAATTGTCCATTTTCACAGTAT